TGGAAGCATAAGGAGAGCTGTGGTGAATGTCTATGACTGCAACAGAAAGTTTTACACTTTTTTTTTTTTTTAACCACGAGACTGTACCATTAACGGGTCTGTCAGGGGAATTAGAAGACATGAGCACAGGCCCTGTAGTATGTAGAAGGTTAAAAGGTCCTTTTAAATATGCCGTTAAAAAAAAAAACACATTTTGGCCACATACCACCATTATAATATTCCTTGACCAAGAAAGATCACACTTCTAATAAATGTCAGTTAATACTCCTTACACTGAGAAGAGAAGAGAACAGAGAGTATGGTGGCAGACACAATATGCATGGGAAAATTGCAGAGGTTATGAGGGTGGACAGTATGTGCAGGAGATGAGTGCGAAGGATATAACAGTGGCCAGATTTATAATAACATTATTGAAAGCCCCAATATTGAATTTTGATGGCACATTGTAGAATGACCCAGGTAAATGGATGCAGTTTGTTTGTTTCTTTACAGTGAAAGATCTAGACCAATTTTCCAGAATCAAATATATTTTACATGTCTATCTTGCTTCACTGGTTTATTTAGCGTTTCACAGCACTGCTTCCTATTTGGAGAACATGGCCTCCTTATTTATAGCTGAACTCTGGCAGAAATAAAAGACGCAAATTCGTTCAGCTATGTATTCATTAAAGCTTATCTCCAAGAAAAATAAGTCCCAGGGCTGCCCCCGCACTGCAAGGATTAACTGCTCATTTACGTCTAGGGTACATGGGTAAAAAACTTTCACTTTCCTGATCCACGCTCCCAAAGGTTCCAAGACTGGCACTCGCAGCCTCTTCCCCTCTACGCTACAGTGGTCAGAGGCCCACTGAAATCATCACGTACAATGCAGGGCCCATAGTCTCGAATTATACCCGAGAATGCCAAGGGACAGTCCACAAGCTGGAGAAGAGGGAGGACGAGGTGATCGCCAACTGCCGGGTGAGCAGGAATAAGGTAAGTAAAAGTCCTTTACACAGCTACCAAAGACATAAATGAGCAGGTATACCTTGCAGTGCAGCGGTAGTCTCACTGCAATATTTTTTTTTATTTCCCTGGAAATAATTTGTAATAGTCAATACATGTAGTGTAACTAGTATAAGTCTAGCCATAAACATTTAGATTTCTCTCATTCAGCCTGTGGGACAATCTAGTGTCATAGAGCTGAAGATTACCATTTAAGCATTAGTTTTAACTTATTATACTCTTATTAATTAAAGCATGTAGCTATAGTTTCTAATTGGCACTGCATTCTCATACCATGGCATAGATCTATGCAGTATTTTACCGCCAACATCTCTAAGGAGTCAGTTTTTGGTGCAGGTCTCTTGAGGCCGAGTAAAATTCTTACAGCTCTCATTGCTGTTCCAGTGTTGCAAAGTATTACTGAAAGCACCCCCTAAGGGCCCATTCACACTATAGCGTTAATGCGATTAATGCACTCTACCACGCAATACACCTATCGTGCCTTACAGTGTGAGAGATGCGTTGCATTGCCATTCCATTTGAATGTCACCACAAACATACTTCTGGCTGTAATGTCCTTGAACGCGCCGCAATGCACGGTACCGAAATACCTTGTGTTGTATTGCGGCTAAAAATAGTGCATACAATACTTTTTTTTTAGCTCCATTGCATGGTACTACGGTACCGCGCGGTACCATGTGTTGTAGCGTGGTTGGGCACATTGCGGGCAGAGGTGCATTTGGAGTGTCACCTCTCACACTGTAATGCACAGTAGGTGCGTTGCACTGTAGCGCGTGTTATTCACACATAAATATCTGATTAATGCACCGCTATGGTGTGAATGAGCCCTTACTGTCAATTCTCGTCCAGTCTGAAACTCTTAACACATAACCTCCCCCTAACACTTGTCACTTAACCCTCTTTCCGTCTCCTGTCCCAACAAAGAAAAAACAAAAATAACTCTAATTTTAAATTCTGCTTCCATCTGACCCTTAATATCAAAGGGTTACAAAAACATTACATAGTTGAAATCATTTTGACTGGAAGCACACCAGTCAAAAAAGCACAATATACTTTTGGTTATAAAGGAATTTACTAACGTGAACATACATTTGTCTGCCCATCAAATGACAATTTAGCTTTAAATGGTATTACCATTTTCAACTGTCTCTCTGTGAAATGCCTGCTTTCGTTTGCTTCTCTGACTGAATCTAAACCTTCAAAACATAAATGCTCTCATAGAAAACCATTTTATTCTCTGGTTATAGGCCTATATCAAGTTTCACCAGTAAAAAAAGCTATATTACTGGTAAAATCAATAACTTTCTTTACCACTTCTGCTACTTCTGCCACTCATGACATACACCATCTAGATTCATGTTAGCCGCTGCTATGTTCAAGCAATGATTTTGTTTTTTGTTGTTTTTTAAATTCCTTTGCTCATGATTAGATATTTATATTAACTTCACATCAGTACACTTCATCTCAATGTAGAACTTTGCAAGTCAAGCCCACTGAGTGTTGTCTTTGTATGGTTTCCAGCGGATGCTTGTGATTGCTTCAGAGGTAACAAGCCCTGCCCCTAATAAAGATTTGCTTCTTTTGAAATGATAATGATGTTTTTCAACACTTGTATACTTTCTTCATGGCATTTAAAGAATATATGTTACCCTAAAAGTGAAGGTTCCTTCTACACGTTGGCTTATTTGTAGAATTCCTAATAAATAGGAGGAGACTGGCTGGAGGGGGTGGCGTCACAGTCGAATGGGCTCGAAGGATTGGTTGAGTATAACTTTGTTTTTTCTCTCCCTAGGCCAAAAGGAGCAGTTAACCCTTGCAGTGGGTGGGTAGCCCCACTGCAAGGGTTTATAACAATTTTGCCTGGAGTTCTTCTTTAGCAACACCTTAAAACTTTTCTCAGGAGTCAGCTGTGATATTTTAAACCCTGTAAAACTATAAGAGGTAATATGGTTTACAAAAATACATCTCACTGACTCACTGGTGTTAAAAAGGTGAGCCTTCGGAATAGCAGAAAAAGGTGGAAGTTATTTTATGTTTGCCTTTTCTGAAGCTGAGTGACCATTTTTGTATCTGCTTTGTTCATTACAAATGCTACAAGTCACTGATTTTCTGCATGAAGGGGATTCACATGCTTTTGATGTGTCGAATGTTACGCTTGCCAATACTCCTGATTTTCCTTGATGTTTACGAGATTTGCATACTATCTTGGGGAGAGGTATATTTAGCATTGCAATGGAATCCTTGGGAATAAAATGACTAACTGATGACATCAGAGCTTCACATGGCATGTGAAAATCTCCAGGAATTCAGGAGTAGTTAGTATGCACGAAATCACGTAGCATTCTACACTGTCCCAGTCATCTGCAGGTTAATGCCATATGCAAGCTGAATGCACAATGTTGTGTGCTTTGAGTTGAAAAGAAAGTAAAAAAGCCAACATAAGTATTTTTCTTCCTATAATTTCTGACATTGTCTTTAGCAAACCGTCCAGGTACTGCGATACAAACCATTAGTACACATAAATTAATTGCATTTCAAAGCTTTTAAGTTTAGTGCACGTTAGTAAGCACCATCATTAGCATGAAGCCTCATGCACACACCACAATAATGCGTTTAATAAGCAGCAAACAGAGCAATGATGATGTGCATAGTGCAGTAACCCTAGCAACCAATCACATTTCAGTTTGCTGTGTCAGATCAACGTAGAATTGGTTGCTCTAGGTGACTGCACTTTGAACATCATTCCTTGACTTGTTTAATCAGCCCAAATTAGTTTTTGGTTTTCTATCAGGGTGTACACCTTTTAATAAAGAAAACCGGTAAAAGATAACTTCAGAGGATTATTCTGCTTAGAATGTTCATTTAACCATTAGATAGTGATTGCCAATGTAACCCTTGCTAAGCCAAGAAAGGCTCCCGTCCTGACATTTAGAGATTCAGTATACATATAAATGCTTTAGACTATGTTAAGCACAACCTTGACAGCATTTCCCTGCAATCAGTTCCTGACATCATTTGATCATGAAAAAATAATGTACCATATACTGCTCAAGGAAAATGTTATTTTACCACCTCAGCAGTTAAGAAGTTACATTACAGAGATTTTAGAAACACAGTAAAATAATGTATCCATGCTGCACAATGTGACTCCTGTTTCATATGCCAAAATGGCCATAATTTGCTTCTTATGCAAGTTTGGTTACTCAGTAAGCAATTGCATCATTTACAATGTCATACAGTTGAAGCTGCAATTGAACAGTAGTACAGATGAACTGATATATGATGTTACGTGTCTGTGTCTATGCAAATGCATGCAGCATCATGTATGGCCTGGGGCAGGTAATGTGTGGATCTTGTTCTTATACTCAATTACTGCAGTATGGGCTAAACAAACAAACAAAGCTAATTCAACAAACTGGAGCAAACTTCCTCAAGCTTGCTCCCTTTTCTCTACAGTACCCGTGTTTAACTGGAATGGAAATTGAAAGCTAATTTGTCTATAATCTGCAGTGCAACATATATGTCAGCAGGGGATGCTATTGCATGAAGCAAGCAAGTCAAATGCTGCTTCTTGAATTTAGTGATCAAAAGCTACTATATGTAGAAAGTGACTGTACAACACAAGACTGTCCATAGGTCGTCACGACTTGTCAGCGATGAGACCTGGACACTAAACAGTTATATCATTGAAATCTATTGAATTTGACATGCATTCTATTTTTTTAACATACCAACATTGGCTGAAATATTTGACACGATACTGCAAAAACATCTATGTATAAAAATTGTGATGATCAGTAATAAAATGCATTCATAGCATAGGGTCAGTGCCGAAACAGGTGACAGATGACAGTACAACTGCCATCACAGCATGTGCCCATTTGTGTATACGATGGACGAACAAATACAGTTTTAATAACAACCATTACCAAAGCCATTACTGTTTTTTATTTATTGTTTTTTATTTTTTTAACAGAAATAAAAACATGACTTACCATATTGACTTCTGATACCATGTCTATACTAGCAATATCTATGTTCATTCCCACCGCCACAGGGGCACCTGCAAGCCAACAGGAAGGTCCACATTGAGATATCCAAGAACTTAACTCTTTTCTGACTGCCTGATCTACTGGTTCAATATATCATCTATGGGATATGGTAATATAGCATGACCTATAGCAGGGCATACTGGATATTTAAACATCTTTCCACATTTTAACAAATATATAGACACCTGTTCATTTTAAGGTAAACATCTATTTTTCAAATCCTACTACAATAAAAAAAAAAAAAATGAGAAAACGCATGCAATGCTAGCAGTATGGGGGCTACTCTAGGTTAAAGAACAATTGCCCTGAAACTCTTTGAAAGTGATAAGACATTTGACATATATGCTGCAATTTTCTGTACACACACATACACTAGAAGTCATTCCATACATGTCTATGCTGGAACAGAGTAGATAGAATATTAGAAGCGACATGAGTTAACATGCTAGAAGCTGAGAGCAGGAAGGTAGGTGGATTAGTGTTAACAAGACATGATCAGATAATAGAGATGACATTGTATATAAAAGGTGGGCTATTTTAATTGAGGTGGATGCTGTGTGGATAGCTGTGACTGAGAGACGAGTATAAGTTTACATCAGTTCTAGGCAGCAATGAACACACACATACACATACACACACACACACATACATACACACACACACAGACCATGCACCTAAAATTCATGATCAAGCCAGGCAATCCACTAATACATCTTCATTCACATAATTTACCTCCAAAATCTGGCCTTAAACGGATGTCATAGCCTTTCAAGAGTCTATCAACCGTCTCTTTAACCAGTGACATATTGCTGGGATCATTGGCACTAAAAGACAGCAAAGACAAAAACAATATAGAGATATGTGTCAGTTCCCCAGTTTACTGTAGCATATTTTGGTTTATCTAAAGTGAAGGAAAAGCATCCCAACCCCCATAAAAAAAAAAAAATCTGCAATGACTTACCTCTGTGCACAGACTATTGCTATTATAATCTGGAGTGACCAGATCCCGACGTAACCTCTTTTCTTGAATCTCAACATCCCTTTAGCTTTTGATATGATTTAGGGCTTTCGGTGAAGAGCAGAAGACATCCAACTTATTGTGACCAGTGCAGTAATTCTGAAGTGCTACGCATGCGCATAGCTCAGTGCAACATAAAAAAACGGAGCAGTGCTCGCTTCGCTACAGACATACGAGCGAACAATGGAGGGGACAGGGGGGACAAGTCCCCCCTCCCCAACTTTTAGGCTAGCCCTGGCAACCTCCTCCCACCCGAGCTTCAATGACCCTTTGCTACTGAGATCGCTTGTCACAGTATTTAAAGGTGAGCTGTGCTCCTCCGTCGCCTTGTCTGTGCTCAGCGCACGCAGCAGCTTACTTGTCTCTCTACTGATGCTGCTGACACGGAGGCTGATGTGGGAGTGGAGGAGGGGGGTGGAAGGAAACGAATAGAAGCTTTCAGCACTGCATCCATGGACCGAGCTGTACGAGAGAGGCAGCTGTCTGCAATCCTGCCCAGTCCTTCACACTGCCAGCTACACTGGCATGCACAAACCCAGCAGCATGGGGGATCAGGAGGAGTTACAAACAGCCCATCAACCGAGGATGGCAAGAAGATGGCTATGTGCTAGGACTATGTATGGTTCTAAGAGGAAGTAAAAACGCGACTTACTGACCCACCATCCTACAATGTCAACAATAAGACCATTTACTATTAATATGTGTAATAACTATGTACTATGACTAGCACTATGTATAGTTCTAAGATGTAGTAAAACTGCAAGTTACTAGCCCATCATCCTAGGATGTCAAGGATAGGACTAGGTACTATTAATATGTGTAATAACTATGTACTATGACTAGGACTATGCATAGTTCTAAGAAGTAGTAAAACTGCAAGTAACCCATCCATCATCCTAGGATGTCAACAATAGGACTATGTACTATTAATATGTATTAACTATGACTAGGACGATGTATAGTTTCAAGAAGTAGTAAAAACACGAATTACTGACCCATGTCAAGAATATGACCATGTACTATGAATATGTATTATAACTATGACTAGGACTATGTATAGTTTCAAGAAATAGTACAAATACGAATTTCTGACCCATAACTACATACTATGATTAGGACTAAGATGTATTAAAACTGCAAGTTACTAGCCCATCATCCTAGGATGTCAAGGATAGGACCATGTACTATTAATGTGTGTAATAACTATGCACTATGACTAGGACTATGCATAGTTCTAAGATGTAGTAAAATCACACGTTAATAACCCCTCATCCTAGAAAGTCAAGAATTGGACTATGTACTAGTAATATGTATAATAACTACATACTAGGACTAGGACTATGTATAGTTAGTTGTAAGAAGTAATCAAACTGCAAGTTATTATTTATTACAGGTATTTATATAGCGCCAACAATTTACACAGCACTTTACATAGTTGCACATTCACATCAGTCCCTGCCCTCGAGCTCACAATCTAAGGTCCCCATCTCACATACATACAGGGCCAATTTAGACAGGAGCGAATTTACCTACCAGCATGTCTTTGGAGAGTGGGAGGAAACCGGAGTACCCGGAGGAAACCCATGCCAGCACAGGGAGGACATGCAAACTCCTTTGCAGATAGTGACCTGTCCATTATTCGAACCAGGGACCCCCAGTGCTGCATGGCAGAAGCGCTAACCACTACGCCACTGTGCTGCCCACTAGACCATCGTCCTAGGATGCAGTGGCGTCACAAGGGGGTGCGGCCCGCACTCGGGTGTCACCATTGAAGGGGTGACTGTAAGTCATTTTGGTGTCACCCCCTCTAAAAAGTCGGCACTCGGTCATGGACCGAGAGCCAGACAGTGTCCGGAGAGAGCAGGGGACCCGGCGGCATACCTCATCCCGCAGGGTGAACGTCCCCTCCTCTCTTTGCCGGCGTCCATCACCAAGATGGCCGCCAGCAGGCGTCAATCAGATGGCCGCACATGCGCGATGATGACACGGCGGGGTGTCATCCGGTCTTGGACGCCCCTGCTAGGATGTCAAGAATATGACTAGGAGCTATGAATTTGTACTATGACTACATTTTAGAACTATGTATAGTTTTAAGAAGTAGTAAAAATGCAAGTTACTAACCCATCATCCTAGAATGCCAGGAATATGGATATGTAATATTAATATGTATTATAACTATGTACCATGACTAGGACTATGTATAGTTCTAAAAAGTAATAACAATATAAGTTACTAACTTAGTAACAGTATTACTAACCCATCATCCTGGGATGTCAAGAATATGACTATGTACAATGAATATATACTATGACTAGGACTATGTATAGTGCTAGGAAGTAGTAAAAAATGCAGATTGCTAAACAATCATTCTAGGATGACAAGAAAATGACTATGTACTATGACTAGGACTATGTATAGACTTCACTCACACTACGTGCAATTAGATGCTTTTATTTGCATCTAAAAAGCTTTTGTAAACGCATATATTTACATCTAATGAATTTCAATGGGTATAGTCACACCTTGCGTCTAGATGCTTTTATCTGCAGTCAGTTTATCTGTGTTTTTTTTTAAATAGATGTCATGCATCAATTTGAACTTCTAAATGCCCCAACACACATGTAAACGCCTGAAAGCATATGTAAGCATGTTTTGATGCTAGGATTTGGTACCAGATGCATCTACATGCATATGCATGTAAACACACATCATTTAAAGCATCTAGAAGCATAAACACAGCATCTAGCCTAACAGAGGACTAAAACGCGAGTGGCAAGTACGAATGAAGCCTTCGAAATAGTAAAGACGCAGGTTACTAACCCATCATCCTTGGATGTAAAGAAGATGACTATGCACTATGAATATGTACTAGGACTCCATACTATGACTAGGACTGTGTATAGTGCTAAAAAGTAGTAAAATGAGAGTTACTAGCCCATCATCCTAAATGTCAACAATATAACTATGTACTGTGAATATGTACTATGACCATGTACTATGGCAAAGACTATCAGGGCTATTCACAAAAGGGTGAAGAGTTTGGAGAAGTGAACAATGTAGGACAACATAGCTGAACTGGAAAGTGAGGTGAATCTGATAATTTTTCCAAATCAGCTATGTTGTCCTAGATTGTTCACTTCTCCTGCCTTCTCCAAACTCTTCACCCTTTTGTGAATAACCATGTATGTATAGTTCTAATAAGTATTGAAGACACAAGTTACCAGCCTATCATGTGAGGATGTCAATGGCTAAGGACCATGTACTATGACTGGAACTATGTATAGTTCTAAGAGGTAGTAAAACCACAAGTTACTATCCCATCATCCTAGGACAGGGGTAGACAACCTTAGCACTGCAGCTGTGGCTAAACTGCAAATCCTATCACTCCTCTGCCTCTGGGAGTCATGCCTGTGGCTGTCAGAGTAGTCAATGCCTCATAGGACTTGTAGTTCCACAACAGCTGGAGTGCCGAGGTTGCCTACACCTGTCCTAGGATGTCAAGAATATGACTATATTATGAATATGTACTATGACTAGGACTATGTATAGTTCTAAGAAGCAGTAAACAAAGTTACTGGCCCATCATCCTAGGACAGGGGTAAGCAACCTGTGCTCTCAAGATGTTGAGGAACTACAAGCCCCATAAGGTATTGCAAGAGTCTAAAAACCACACGCATGGCTCCCAGAGGCATGCTGGGATTTGTATTTCAGCATAGGTGGAGTGCTGTGGTTGCATATTCCTGTCCTAGGATGTCAAGAATATTGCTATGTACTATGACTATGTACTATGAATAGGACGGTGTATGATTCTAAAAAATAGTAAAAATGCAGGTTACTAACCCATCATCCTAGAATGTCCAGAGTATGACTATGTACTATGCATATATGTATTAAAACTATATACTATGACTAGGACTATGTATAGTTATAAGACTTCACTCACACTATGTGCAATTAGATGCTTTTATGTGCATTTAAAAAGCTTTCGTAAACGCATGTAAACACATCTATATGCATCTAAGTAATTCCAATGGGTATAATATTCACACCTTGCATCTAGATGCTTTTATCTGCAGTCAGTGTATCTGTATTTTCAAAAAATAGAAGTCAGATGCATTTAGGAATCAATTTGAACTTCTATACACACAATAAATGCATGCACACGTGTGTCAATTAAAGCATCCAGAAGCATAAGCACAGCATGTAGCCACAAGTGGCAAGTGTGACTGAAGCTTTAGACTTGAGGATACAGGGGGACATTCCGTAGCTGGAGCGGAGGAAGATGCCGTTAAATCAGGTGAGTAATTCAGCTTTATTTGAGCCCCATAGACAAAGTGAGCTCTTGACTCTTGCAACGTTTGGGTAGTCCTGCTACATGTTTTTTTTATTTGCTCAGAGTTCTTTTTTAATTTGCTAGACAAGTCCATCTAAATCCGCTAGTGCATCTAACACCATCCTCCCCCAGATTGACAATGTTGCTGTCCACGGGTGGCTCCATTGCTCCTCCACACAGTGGAGCCACCCTAAGACAGAAAGTGTGTTACTGGCTGGATCACCAGGTGAAAATAAAGGATAACAAATATAAAACTAATGCAGTCAGCACATCTAAGGACTGGTAAGCTTTAATATTTGACATTTTGTTTTGGGGTTTAAATATGCTTGAAGTTGTTCATTATTATGTCAGATATGTGTAATAATCATGTTGCCGTTTTGTGTGCCTAAGGCGATAGGACTTTTCGGTAATAACAGCATTGACATTAACTGCAAAAAGGGGGAAGATTTGTACAGCTGAGGAGAAGGAAAAAAATATATCAGCTTTACGTATAAAAGGAAATAATTGGGGGACAATGTGCATGTGGGACTGATTCCTACATTAAAGAAGAACTCTGGGCAGAAAAAAACGTAACCTTTGCAGTGGGACTATCCCCGCACTGCAAGGGCCAAGTGCTCGTTTTGGCCTAGAATCTAAAATAACAGAGAAATACTCACCTGAGCCTCGGTCCTACTTGTTTGCTAGACATTCTGGTGGTGGAATGTCACTTGCTGTCCTCACATCCAATACATGGATCGAACATGATGATCCACGAGTTCTTAGCCCGCTGGGGGGAGAGAGGTTTAGCAGCCACGCAGAACCAAGGTTCAGGTGAGGATCTCTGTTATTTTAGATCCTAGACCAAAATGAGCACTTGCTGGGATAGCCCCACTGCAAGAGTTACATTTTATTCTGTCGGAGGTCTTACTTAAATCATAATACAATACCACTTCAAAAGAGCACTTTCCAAGATCTACACCCAGGTGATCTGAGACCTCACCCCCAATCTAGTCAAATACATATGCATATACAACAAAAGTTGTGGTGGGGTTTTCTTAAGGGAGGACTCAG